TAAACAACCCATACAACAAGTTTTACTTCCCATAATACTTAAAATGACCACCCAGGAGCATTCAATAATCACAGGTAGATAATTAATTAACTTAATCAAAGCTAAGCAGATATTAAGGTTGATTTGATGTGATTTGATCATACTTGCAGTCTTGTCTTTATTCATTTTCTGTAGAGGTTTCTGTGAGAAAGGTACACTAAAGATCCAGGTGTACCTTCTAGTTGTAGAGTCCTGTTTGATCAAAAGCATATTTTCAGTGGTCCCATTTTAGATTGTTTTGGTGAAATCCTGGTCCAGCTGATTTCAGTGGCAAACTTCTGTAAGACTTCTTTTGTAGGTTTGTACATGCAGGTGTAAAGTCCACATTCTATTTACTGTCATTTTAAGGATCATTCATATGACCAACAGGGCTGTCCTGGGGAGGGGCGGGGGGGAGCGAGTCGGGGTGACTGCCCTAGGCTCCACACTTTGGGGGACCCTGCAGACCTGGGCAGAGCGGCTGTGGTGACTCTGTGCCACTGCTTCCGGCTTCACATCCAACCACTTGCTACACACCCCCACCCCCCACCGCTGACACCGCTATTGCAGATGGTGGCAGCAGCTTCTTTGGGTCCGGGGGGCGTGGGATCAGAGCAGTGGTGGGTCCCCACATGGGCTGACTTGCCCTGGGCCCCGCACTCTGCTCAGGTCGGCTCTGATGACCAAGCAATGTAACTGAGAATCAGGCCCAACATTTTGCAATCTAAGTTGAAAAAGGAGCAAGACACATTTTAACAAAGGTCTAATGTGTCTAGGCACCAGGGGTAGCCGCCACAAACAGGGGCAGCAGTGACTTCCAGTTGCCACTGCACCAGTGGCACAATCACATGACTATGGCAGTAGCCATTCCTTCCCTCCCCCTAAGTCAGCACTCAGGACGGCTACCTCAGTCACCTTACCTTAGTTACACCAGTGCATTTTAAACCTGGAGTCCACATGCCCACCCAAAAGACAACAGTCTTGTGAAAGACAAGAAACCGTAATCTTAAACATTTCCTGTATTTCCCTCATCTTTTATCTCATGGTATCTACACTGAAAGAATCAAAACCAAAGTGGTTTCTTTCTTCTCTCCTGCTTTTTTTAAATAGAAGATAGTCACCCAATCCGAAAACACAAATAACAATATGTTACTTAGGTAATCAGTCAAATACGAATGTGCAGGTACACTCAGCTGTTTCACAGTGGGCAGTTCACAAGCAATCTGAGCCTGAAATATCCTGGTAGAAAACATGTATTTAATTAAATGTGAACTGTGTTCATATTGTGCAAACTGCAATCTCTTTGTTGGACAAGATGGAAACAGAAAAAAGCACTAAATTTAGCTGAAAAACTATTTGCTATGAATAACTGGGTTCATAGTTGATGTGAGATACTAACCTTTCTAATAGTATCTTGATGGACAAAATAGTGAAGTGAATGTATCATTAATATTTATCATGAATATGTCATATTTATTACATAGATAACAAGTTCTACCTTTGTGATGGCTGATATGCAACATATTTACTTGAGTATAAGATGGTCCCCCAACAATTAGATTCTATATATGGAAAATTTATAAATTTGTTATAATTTTCCAGGTAAAAAATCTAATTATTAGAGGTTTCACTTGAATTTTTCCCCTTCCCACTGCTACAGCAGGTAAAATAAATTTATGGGGCAAGTAGGCCCCTTGCCCTCTCCCCTCTCAACTTCTTCTGCCTGCAGCCACTGCCCCTTCCATCACCCCCTTCCTCCCCGCCACTCCAACATCAGATTCTGCTCTGTCAGAGCACATGAAAGTGAGAACCAAATTTAAAAACACTGGGCACATCTACACAAGATGCCGAATATGCAGAAGACTAATTCTACTGTACATTAGCATGACAGACAAAGCCCATGCTAATGTGCAGTAGATTTACTTTAATACGCAGTAGGATTGCAAAAAAAATTAATCTGCACTAATAGCCAGTAGAGCCAATTAGAGTGCAATCTGTCATTACAGATACTAAACTTAATGTGCTGTAATTATGCTGCATTAACAAACATGTAGATGCACTCACTGACTTTGAAATAAACATACTATAATTTGCATATAGTATCTATAGACTTACTTCATCCAGAATTGATGCATTTAACCTTTTTGAAACTGCTGCAAATTTTAGCATGCACTTTAAAGCAGCACTTTCATATTTGCATAATATTAGTCAAAAGCCAAAAGTCTTATGATTTACCATATAGTTCATTAGGCTGGGTCCAAGCAGAGTCAACAGTGTTTCAAGTCGTGGTGACCCCACACTGCTCAGTATGTGCGTGTACTCTAGATACTACCCACGAAGGATCCACATGATAATTAGCCCCCACTCAAGAGTGGAGCTGAGTGTTCTTGTCATGAGTCCTGCGATCTTCCAAAAATGTATATGCAGATCCTCATGGGAAACCTGGTCTGACTCCATGGGTAGAGCAGAGCCACATTACTTGGCTGCAAAGGTGACAGAGGGATTCTGGGTGTATTGTTTGGGCCTGTTTAGTAGTGCTACATGAAATGGCTATGTTTTATTTCCATTTCGGATTCAGCCATTTCAGAGGGACAGTGATTTGTTCCGGTGTTTTGGATCACTGTTCCATTTCGATTTGGCCAGATCTGTTTCGGAGTGTTGATGCAGTTTCAGCGCTGATACAGAGATTCGGATTGGCCGGGGAGAGGCAGGCACAGCTGGGCGGCTGCAGGTTCTCCCGTGGCTCCTCTAGCTGTGTCTGCCTCTCCGTAGGCAGGGGGAGCTGCGAGAGAAGCCCCCATGACTGCCCTGCCCGGCCTCATCCCCCACTCAGCCTCAGCTTTCCGGCACTTTAAAAAAAAAAAAGAAAGCCTCACACTCACTGGATGCAGCAGTGATGATCAGGGCCCCTGGGGGCTCATGGCAGAGCCCCCCCATGCAGCGCAAGGCAGTGGGGGCCAACAGGGATTGTCCCCCCCACCTGGCACCCACACAGAAGCTACCCCAGGGTGCAGGTGCATCATGGCTAGGCAGGGCACTGTGTGCTGTCTGGGACCTGGGGCTGCTGGGGCTGAGTGGTGCCCAGCTCCAGCTGACAGGTGGAGCTGCCCCAAGTCCTAGACAGCGTGTGGCACCCTACCGAACCGCAATGCACCCACTCCATGTGATGGCTGCTGTGTGGGTGCCAAGTAGGGGGCCTAGCTGGCCATCTCTCCTGGCTTCAATTTAGGTCTAAAGTTAGTTCCAAGTGCTGCCAGCTGGCTCTGGCTTCAACTTGGGACTAAAGTTAGTCCCAAGGGCTGATAACTATGTGGCCAGAGGCTGGAGCTCCCCCCGATGGCTGCAGGGGCATCTGACAGGCTGTTCTGACCTGGAACTAAATTTAGTCCCAGGGCATCTGCACATGTAGATGCCAGCCTATTCTCACTTACAGTACTGTGCAGTAACCTACTGCACAGTAAATTTAAGCCATCGTAAATGCATGTGTAGACACACCCAGAGAATATTTAACTCTAGAACTAAGCCCCAGCTGAAACATATGGCTCTTCAGTGAGCTGGGTTTGTTTTCCAGCCTGTGCTTCTCATCTTGTCCACTGATTTTCTGTTACGCACTTTTCTTATTTGTTATCTGTCTGTTTGACACAGAAGAAGCCAGATGAGAGCTCACTACCACCAAAAATACATTAAAAGAAGAAAAAGAAAGCAACAATTCAATAAAAAGTGACAGTGAGGGTACACAGAGATAATTCTTGGTTCTCACTTGTGGTCCACAGATCTGTGATGGTCCATGTGGCACTCTGAGGTGGTCTGCAGAGCTGTTTCTGTCACATTAGTAGTTTTAAAGCTCTGCCACTATTCAATAGTTGTAACCCTATACCTGAAGCTTTTCACAGCAGTAATACTTAGTATGCTCGTACCCCAAGCCCCAACTTTAGGCATTCAAATAATCTGGGAAAATTTTGCCCATTTTGCTGTCCTGGTAGAGAAATTTATCCAGAACCATGTGTACATCAATCAAATGCTAAGGCCCTGAAAACTGCAGAGCTTGCAGTGCTGGCACTGTGCAGCTGGCGGGAAGGTGCGGTGGGGGAGAGGTGTGGAAATAGGAGGAAGCTTAGCATACATCTCAACCTGCCCTACAGTCTCCCTGGGCACATGCTGCAGCGCCAGGCATTTTTAAAAGCACCTGGCACTGTGGTGCATGCAATTGTATAAGCGGTGAAATGCACATCAGTACTGAGAAAATAGCAGCAGCGTGCTTTTGAACTAAAACACATCAGAGGTTTTTTTACTCTGGGAGAAAAAGTCTGAACATCTGTATATTCATGGTTCCTCCCAGGATAGCAGTGACTTTCCCAGGAGAGTGCCTGTAGAAGGCCTTAGTTTACCACAGGCTTTCCCCCTCCCCCTCCCCGTTCACACAACTAGTAACAACATCACAACTACTGTAGTTCCAGACTCTGAGCTCTTAATTGTTTGACAGGGTGTGGGATTGTGACCGATGCTAACCCTGCTCTCTGAGTGCTTCTGTAAAGGGACCCTGCTACACAGTGTTGGCAGGGAGGCAGACTGCAGAAAGACACAGGAGTTTGTGATTTTAACTGGCCAAACATTGTGGATTTGGTGATGACAGTTTAACTTGCCAGGCTCTTGGATTTTATGACACTAACATATTGCATCTCTTGTTCAGAAGGAACTTCGCAAAAAAAATTTCTTAACCATGATGAGGTACCCCCTTGAGAAATGAATATTTAAGTCATTCTTACCCCCTCCCTTCCTTCCCCCCATCAAAACAAACATATAGGATCAGTTTCTGATGATCTTGCTATAGCTGCCACCTCCCAGTGGATCTCCCTGGTTTCAGTGTGGGTATTCATGGAATACAGAACATTTTGGCTGAGTGAGAAGGTTGGAATCTGGCCTTTCATTTGGAAGGATGACATCCATTAATGCTATAATATTTCTGTTTTACTTGTTCACAGCTTTTATAACTGGGATAGAAATATCAGCACTTCAAATTCCAGTCCAAATTACCAAGTGATTGCAGAAAATGCCTGTGGATTGCTCTTCAAGAATAAATGTGACAGGAAAATAATAAATGTGGATCCTAAGGTAATTTTTTCAATGTTTAAAGTTTCCTTTATGCACGGCCACTTGATTCTAACTCTGTTGAAGTCCAGTTGCAAACTTCCTGTGTAGAAGCACGCATCTTATATTTAATATTCACTCCTGCTCTCTAAGTAATAGTCCTTCTTTATTAGCACAGCTCACCTCTGCACCCTGTAAAGAATAAAACTGACCAACCTCATTTATAACTGCAAGTGTCTAGCCTCTGCGTTTGTGAAGGAAGCTATGTAAAAACCAATAGGACTATGCAGCAAGACCCCTTCTTCAAAAGGAAGCTGGAATGAGAGGCTTACAGATTCACACTTTCACATACTTGCTTGCTAGGTAATGTTCCCTTACCAGTCCTAAGCATAGTAGTGCAGGGGTGTAACTTGGAACTGAAGAAGTAGCAAAAAATTGTTTTGCAACTCTACTTAAACTTCCTAAAATCTGCTCTGTCCACTAAAATATGCAGTCCCCTTTAGCTATTTATATGGCTACGGCAGCTGCAAGAGAACCTCCCATCTTGTTTCTCCCTACATCTACCTCAATCTCTGCTTGGAAAAGCAACACATAAACCTCCCTGTCTTCTTGCCTTTCTATCCAGCACTTCAGTATCACATGAGGAGATGAAAAGAAGCTTAGTCCAAACTCCTGCTTCTGCACTGAGTGAAAACTGTACAACTGCCTTCTCTCTGACTAATGCCTTCTTTCCTTGCCTGAGCCCATAGCCTGAAGAGCAGTTGTTGGGAAGGAGCCTCAAACCCCTACAAGACAGTCCCACACACCAGCTGTGGAGGCCCCAAATTGTCAGGGGAGGTCTATTCACTCTATGAACCAAGGTACCCATTTCCCAGTTTATCACTCCGTCTACCACCAAAGGCCTTCCATCCACCCAAGCCCCCTATAGTCAGAGACTACAGGATCTTTCTGTTGCCATTCCAGCTAGCACAGGCCTCAGGTCAGTCTCCATCCTAATGCTGCTGCCTCCAAAGGAGTCTGAGTGAAGTGCTGAGTCAGAGGACACCTAATGGGACTAACTGCTTTAGTTAATGCACTTTAGTTAATGCACAGTAAATCTAGTACCTCCATTGTGAGGTACTAGGAAAATGTGCATTAGCTTGTCTTAATGTACATTAACTAAAGAGCATGGGGAACTTTTACACATGCTCGGGGGTTGGGAGGGGGTGCTTTAATTAGAGCGGCTCCAAGAGTCTCTCTAATTAAAGCACCAACGCGTCTCATATATCAGTGTCCCCACACTTAAAAATGGCGATGGGGGGCGCTTGAACTAAAGCTTGTTTAATGAGCTTTAGTTCAAGCACCCCTGCTGCCATTTTTAAGTGCAGGCACACTGATGCATGAGATGCAGGGGGCTGATGGAGCACAGCAATTGCTACACTCCAGCAGACTTGATTGAGTTTGCTCCAACACACAGGAATTCCAGCACATTGGAGTAGCCTCCATGCTTGTGTATAGGCACCTATGGATTTTAAGTGATGCTTAATGCGCATTAGCCTATATTAATACACATTAACTAAATAGCGCATTTTAGCGATGCTTTAATGTGCATTAAAATAGGCTAATGTTCATTAAAGTGCATGTGCAGATGCACCCAATGGGATGTAGGTAGGAACTAAGAGATTCTAGAAGGGCTGGTATATTTGGATATGGGATGACTAAAGGATTGGAGGAGTGACAGATTATGGGACAGATCAATTTAAGTGTGGGAAGGGTTATAGGGTATTTTGCCCAGAGAATATCACAAGAATGTGGCAAGATGCAGGGTTGCTCCTAGTTAAAATTGTGGTAATATATGACTTGGTTTTCTGGGTCCCAGTTGGTCCCCAGCTAAAAATTAAATTTTCATTTCTGAAGTGGGTACCTCATCATGGGTAAGAAATTGTTTTTGCAAAGTTCCTTCTGAACAAGAGATGCAATATGTCAGTGTCATAAAATCCAAGAGCCTGGCAAGTTAAACTGTCATCACCAAATCCACAATGTTTGGCCAGTTAAAATCACAAACTCCTGTGTCTTTCTGCAGTCTGCCTCCCTGCCAACACTGTGTCCCTTTACAGAAGCACTCAGAGAGCAGGGTTAGTATCGGTCACGATCCCACACCCTGTCAAACAAATAAGAGCTCAGAGTCTGGAACTACAGTAGTTGTGATGTTGTTATTATTTGTGTGAAAACAATGAGAAGGGTAGCAGCTCAGCACCTCTGAAAGACAGGGCATTAATTTCTGTACTTATACATGGTTTTCTGTACATGACTGCAAGTAGTTGAGCTTGAAACTGTTGACCCAATTGATCTATCTGAAATCCAAAAGGTAAATCCAGGCAAATGCTTCCTGCTCTTGCTGTATGTTTTATAGAGCCATAATACAAATGGATCTTACGTTAACTGTCTACATAAAGCATAAAGACAAATTAATTGATTGATACTGAATTTAGGCTACCTATCAAACAAAATATCTAATATGGAATGAAATCTGTGCATGTGTTTGTGTGTGTGTGTGCATGTACACACATTCACACATGCTTAAAAATTACTACTTTGTGCGTGTACTTTGGCTTGCTGTTTTGCTTGTGTCAACAGAGAGCCATAAACAGCCCAATGCTAATAAAAGGTTCTGATTGTACTGGAAAAAGTAAAGCACCTTATGTGGCCTGGCAAGTGTGCAACCAAAGAAAAGAGGGAGTCATAAGTGTCTCAAAATCCTCATGGAAAGAAACCCTGCCAAAGGATTGTGGCCTTGAAGACCAAAGTGATTCTGACAGTGTAGGGGTTAACACTGGTTTAAATATAATTAATGTATTTAAAGTACATGCAAAAGAAATGTATCCATATGTGCTCCCTCTGGTGGATATATGTGTCATGTGCATAGCAAAATGCCTTTGTCCATGGCACAGTAGTATTTGCAATTAAACAAGAAAATACCGATGCTGGAGTAAAGCACTGGTAAAAGTGATGGGGGATTTATTGTTATGAATGAAAAGAATGTAATCAGGTGACATTGTTATAAACCATAGTGTATCAGTGAAAACAAGTATCGCTTGCATGTTATCAACAGGACATATACATGCTCTGCTTTTTCCTAATAAAAAGGTTTGATAATTCTATTAAAGCTAATACGATATTTGGCAACAGCTCCACTGGGAGAAGGATAGGGTTCTTTATTCTCTAAAACTGAAATTTTATTTAAAAATCATTCAGTGAAACATTTTTCCAAATCAAAATAAATGGAGGGACAAAAATCACCCCAACTATGCAAAGTTGGATTTAGGATACATTAATTGCTACCAGTTCTCTATTAGGGTGATGTTAAGACAACAGACAACTGCATTTCAAAGGTAAGGGTGTGGACTTCCAAGGAGCCTAAGAGAATTAGGCACTGGAAGTTCAAAGCAATTGGGCATTTCACTGCATTAGGCTGCAGATTTCCCAGTCGGAAGAGCATGACTTTATGTAGTTATACACAAAGCAGAGGGTGATGGAACCTCTCACTCAGCAAACCTGGTTCCAGTGATAAAAGGGAAAAAGTATGGATTCCTGAGATCACTTTTGAAAATCACTATTATGACCAGTGGTGTCATAAAATCATAGAAAAGTGGGGCTGGAACAGATCTCTGGAGGTCATATAGTCCAACCGCCTGCCAGAAGCAATATCATCCCTCCCCAAACCATCCCATACAAATTCTTGTCTAACTACACTGTCAACCCTGCTACAAAGCCACAAGGTACAGGTAAAGCAGGAGACCATGCCACATGCCACAGGTAAAGCAGGAGACCATGGCAGCCAGTGCAAGGGTTTTTAAAGTACCAAGGAAAAGGGTCAAATTCCCAACTACAGAGAAAAGAAAAAAAACCCATAATCCATACCAAGTCTGGTGCTATTTAAACCAATCACTAAGATGAACAGAAAAAGCAAACTTCTGACAGAGGTCTTGAATTCCAGCCAAGTGTACCAATCTTGGCAGAATTGAAGTGGCACAAATTTAAGTTCCTTCTTCTGTTTAAAAACGCTGCAGTGTCCACAGGTTGCTTGTTTGGCCTTAGGCCTTTTTACATATATGATGGAGCATGACTTCACAACCCTGAACCTGTGGGGTTCTGCTGGATCTCCTTTGATTGCAGGGCCTTGATAAAAACTGACCTTCTTGTTTTAAAGCATTGTCCTCAGAGTTATTCCTAGCAACCTCTTCAACTTAGAGTCTGCTGGCCAAGAAAAGAAAGATGAAAAGAGAGAACAGAGGCAATGTATACAGCTCATGTAGAAATACCCAAACTAACTTTTACCTAGCTACCTCATGTAATACTAAGATTAGCCACATTTGCCCAGAGCTCAGTGCAGACTCATTGCCTAAGCTTTTACTGTGCTTAAGTGGGTTTTGCACCATGCGCTGTGAGTTCCATGTGCTTCTATTATATTGCTAGCAGTATCCAGACTACCTAAAATTAACTGAGATATGTCTACTCCAGCTGCAAGCTCAACAATGACCACAACATAGACATACCAGTTAGTCTCTGTTCTTTCCTGAATCTCTTCTGGAGCAGTGCTGGTCTCCACTCCATCCTCCATGTCTGAGACCAAATTTTGCCTTTAGGCAATCCCAAATTCTTCTTCCAGGTTGCACTGAAATAACAGAGAACAGAAATTGGCCCAAGGCCACTACTGCTTATGCAAGAATCTTTTTTGCAGCTCATCTCATCTGGAACGTCCATAATCTCAGTCTCATCAACTCTCTATCTCATTTCAAATCTCAGCTGAGAAAAAAAAAGATCTTCCTCATTTTCACCCTTTTATTTCTGATTTAATATACTAGTACTTACCTAACTCCATGATTGTTACTTAGTATTGTAAAGTATTTGAAAATTATGTGAAACAAAGATGTTACATGCTACTGAGCTGAATGTAGGTTCCCCAGTCTGAACCATAGTTGAAGGCTATTTAAGTTGCCACAAGTAATTGTTGGAACAAAATGGATTATAACCTTTATAAACAATGCTCTTCTGTAGTGAATTGATTATATAATTCTGCTCTGATTGCCATTTTTAAGTTTGACATCTGAAGTCTTTAGAGTATAGATTGAGTATGACAAACACCCATGCTTTGGTTCCTCTCAAAACCAATGTGAAGTAAGATGGGCAATAATTTGTTTGGGTTTGTACAGAACTACACAGAACTAGGATGATGGTTTCTTTGAAGTTCTTTCCATGAAAGATGGTTGCACATGAATAGCAACAGTATGAAATATCAAATTATATGCATTTTAAAATAAGTGCATTGGTTTGTTAGAAAGTCAAAAATGCATACTTAAAAATGTGTTTGGTTGCATTGAAATTGGGCCACTGGTCTAACTTCCTGCAGCTGTAGAACATCTGTAACGAATAACTAGATATTCTTTTTCAGCATGAAAGATATTCTTTTTCAGCACTTAAAGAGCCACACCCAGCTAACACTTTTGCTCACTTATGATAAAAAACAGCATTATATTAGTACCACCTCAATATGTACTGATTTGCATGTTGCAAAGTATAATGTAGTATAAGGTACATTTATGAAAACTTCACAAGATCTATCTGTCTCAGGTTCCAATGCTGAAATCAAGAGGAGTTTTACCATTGGCTTCTATCAAACAAAGTTACGTTAATCTTCAGTTCTTTTTTTATGAGAGCCTTTCTTTTATTACTTGATTGTATGAGGATTACTGGCGACAAGATTCAACAAGATAAATTAACACTCCTAAATGAAATTACACTTATCATGTGCATTAATCTTCAGTCAAGAAGCCCTACACCAATCCTAGCTAGATTTAGTGATTTCCATGTTTCAGAGGAATGAAGAAAAAGGCCATAGCAACTTTTCTCTTTTTGTTGTTTGGTTATCTATAACATTCTATGTTTCAGGCTTACCCAGGAGACAACACAACTCGGACGCCAATTGAAACAGATCTTTACCTCCAAGTAGTAATCTATGACCATGTCCTCAGAAGAAAGATCTAACAAGTTTATTGGATCTTCCTTCGAACATCTGTTTACCAAGTTAGGCCATTGTAATTGTAAGAGAAATAAATACATTTGAAGAGAACTTCACCAGGTGTGGGACTGGTTTTGTACTATAATGGGAAGGGTAATTTTTGGTCTGCCTGAGAATTGGATTGCACTGGACTCTGTGATGGCTGCAAAATAGAAAACCCAACCCTGCTGTGCCTCTTCTTAACCATGGGGGTATCATTATAGACCTAAATATCAGTTACTGCTCATTCCAAATGCCCTGGGCCACATGACACTGAAAAGGTGCCTGGAAGGAATGCATGAATTTGTGGCACAAACACCTCTATTCTGCACAAACCAACAAAATGGGATGACAAGGAGAATATAAGAGTATTCACAAATAAGACGAATAATAGCAGAGAATTCAGAGTTCCTCTTGAAGCTTCCTATTGAGCAATGTGGCTCCTCTTTCTAAAGCTGGACACACATGATACAAATGAGCCTGTATCATATGGAGTTGGCCCTTTGGAAGGCTGCCCTCAGACTAGTCCCAAGAGGTCTCTCCTTGGAGAACAGTGGGTATTTTCAGTGCTCTAGTGAGTAATTGAAGGCCACTTTTCTTCTCTTCCTGCTTTCACACAAGCTGTAATATAGTTTGTTATAGAAGCTGCCTCTATGTACAAGGATGCAAGTTTCAGCATCAATTCAGTGGCTCAAGGGACTCTTATCTGTTTTTCTGCATATATAACACATTTGGTAGACACAACAGTGGACACCTCCATCCTGAGTAATATGTAGTCACTTGGTGAGTAGAGAATAGAAGAGAGGGAAACCACTGAACTAAACAGCAAAAAAACAAAACAAAAACAGGTAGAAAGTAAAGAAAGATTATGAGGCAGACAAAGAAAATGATGAGATAGGAAGAAAACTAAAGGATGAAGTTCAGTGCAGCCAAATACAAGGTACAAGACTTAGGGAAGAATAATTAGAAGGACAAATACAGAATGAATAACTGGATGGTAGCGCTGCTGAAAAGGATCTTGGGATTGTAGTGGATCTCAGACTCAACATAGTTAAGTAATATAATCCAGCTGCAAAAACGGTGAATGCAATTTTGGGCTGCATCAAGAGTGTGCAAAAATGGGGTGTGATGATGCTACTCTGCTTGGCATTAGTTAGGCCTCATCTAGAGTACTATGTACAGTTCTGGACTTTCTACTTTAAACAGGATGTGGAGAAATTATAGAGGGTCCAAAGACAGGCAGCAAAAGTGATAAAGGGTTTGGAAGGCAAGCCATATGAGAAACTGATAAAAACTAAGCAAGTTTGGCTTGCAGAAAAGGCAAATAATGAATTGTATCAGTCTTCCAGTATCTGGAAGGGCTGCCATAAAGAAGAGGGAGAACAACTTGTCTTTCTCACTGCAGGCACTAAGACACATAGCAGTGGCTTGAAATTGAAGCATAGTAAGTTTGGATTGGCTATCAGGAAAAACTTCTTCACTGTTAGAACATCGAGGTAGTAGAGACTGCATAGGGAAGTTGTGGGCTGTCCTGCATTGAAGATTCAAGAAAAGATTAATTGAGCATTGATCGGGGATGATTTGAGAGTAGGAATGGTTCCTGGATAAAAGATTTTGCTCCTTTACTTAGAGTCAGACCAATAATCACAGGTGAGATTAAGAAGGAATTTTACCTGATAGTCAAATTTGCATGGATTTTATGAGATTTTGCCTTCCTCAGTGGCACAGAGCATGATCCTCTGCCATGATCCTCTTGAGCATATTTCAAGGACTGCTTCCTATCCTTGCAATGATAGGACACTGTCCTGCATCAACAGAAGATTTACCTGTGGCAAGTTAAGATGTTGTTGATGTTTCACACATTACCCCTTGTAATTGTGTAAGAGGGCTGTTCCTGAAGGTTTTAAGAATAGATTAGACAAACACTTGTCTCAGATGGTTCAGATATGGTTGATCCTGCCTTGAGCAGTGTGTTGGACTAGATAACAACCTTAGGTTGCTTCCAGTCCTACTTTTCTGTACATCTATGTAATCAAAGACAGAAAATGACTGAGTGAAATTCCACTGGCTTTGTTGAGTAGGAGGACATATTCCCATAATGGTTTCTCTTGGCCATAAATCCATTAATCTGTAAAGGGCAAGATAAAGGAAGGAAATAACATGACTAGGCTGGGGCTTATCACAGGGTGGGGTTTATCCATCAATCCATCACAAACATTACTCTTTGAAAAAGGCTGGGAACCTCTGATTTAGCAGTTTATATAGTAAAAGGCTCTTTACTAAGAAGAGAGGAAGTGTTCCAACAAGTACAAAGTGAAAGTTGTTACTTCAAAGCTGCAATAATTTGTGAGAGAGGCTGTTTTCTTTCCAGTAAAAAATTAAACACAATTTCCATATATAATAAAATGGCTTATAATAACATCTTGCTTTTATGGATAACACTTCATCCCAAAGCCCTATAAATGTCACAAGAGATAAGCAAATTTTACACCATGATCCCTTCACTCACCACTGAAATGCAGCCAACTCTGGGATGAAACACTCCAGTGCATTGTAACATAACACACCATCTTAGAAATGCACTGTTGTGATATATTACAGATAAACAATATATGTAGTTAGCATTATATTTATACTTTTGTTTCAAAATCATTATTGGGTTTTTTACTGGGTTATTATTATTTTCCCCCTGGTTTTGCAACATGACATACATCTGTTATGCTATGCATCTTGAGACTTATACATATAAACATAAACAACTTACAATGCATTTTATCTGGAATGTTTTTTGAAAAAAGGCTTTGTTGGTTTGTAATAAAAACATAAGGCTTGATTCTCCCTCCACTCCTGCTAATGCAAATCAAAAGTAGCCTGTTGAAGTCAGTAAAGTTACACTTGTGCACTCATGCAAGTGACAGGTATTTCGAATTAATACACAAAGGGTGCGTCTACATGTCATCCTACATCACTGTACCAATGCACTATGTCTCCATATGACGCGCTATGGTGATATAGCGATCATGTGAATCTACACATGACTGGTAGCTACTTCACCGTAGTGGTATGCTCCCCTGTTTTAGCACGCCACTAAGGTGAAGTAGTGGCTAAAACTAACCGTGTGCCACATGCATTGTACATTATGGGTGAGTACTGCACCATGCTTTAGTACTTCCATTTGGAAGTTCCAAAAGGAAGTACTAAAACATGGTGCAGTAACAGCAGCACCATAGGGTGACATGTAGGTACACCTAAAATGTGCATTTTTATATCCATCCACCTTTATTTAGATCTTTCTATATCTTTCTGAAGGAATTTGGGCAAAACACATAATCTGAATCATGATGCATGATTATCAGAAGAAGCCTAATGTTTGGTCCTGATTAAAGGTGTAAAGTTTCCCTTCAAACAAATTAAAAACTGGTGATACCAAGGGAAACACAGATGTGTACAGACATCTCCCAAATTCAAATGATGGTTTTATACAGGCTTTGGTTATAGGTGGTGGGACTGGTTTATTTCTTTCACATTTTTTCCCACATAGATTTTATCCTTTACCCGGATCTCTCCACTGGTTTCCTTCCATGGTCACTGTCCTGTCTTCTTGCTTCTGCCTGATTCTTTTAGTTTGCGTCATCATAGCATCCACTTATATCTCAATTTGTGTCTGTACTGACCATGTGGTAAACTCTTAAGTGGAGAATGGGAGGGTTGACCTTGCCTTTCGTAGCATGCTGATACATTCCAAGTGAAGAATGCTCTCTTCGCAAGTACCCAATCCCTGGCAAGGGTGATGGAGAAGTTAGGACAGGGTGCAGTGATTCCTGGAAAGATGGTAAATATCCCAACAGTCTTTCAGTGTCAGTGGTGCAACCCCAGCAAACCCATTTCTCTGTGCCAGAAAGCTTTCTACCCCATTGACTTCCTCACACTGTTTCATCATGTACAGACCTGAGGAAAACAGATTCCCGTTAATTTCTCTTGCTTTTGAGATAGCATCCTGGGTTCCCATACACAGGACTCGACTCAGAGAGACTATTGTGCAAAAAGAAAGTCAGGGTCCAGTCATCCTGGAAGATGCACAGGCAGCGTTCCTATTGACCATGACGGAGTATCATGCACACATAGTTTCATAGTTTCATAGTTTCTAGGGTCGGAAGGGACCTGAGCAGATCATCTAGTCCGACCCCCTGCCATGGCAGGAAAGAGTACTGGGGTCAAACGACCCCAGTAAGGTGGTCATCCAACCTCCTCTTAAAAACCCCCAGGGTGGGAGCCTACACCACCTCACTTGGAAGCTGGTTCCAGACCC